CCCAAAAGGGCCCCAAGAGGGGCCCAAGAATGCCAAAGACGGCCCCAAGATCGCCCAAGAGGCGCCCAAGAGCGCTCAAAGACGGCCCCGAGACGCCGTTTGAGAGCCTCCGAGGGGGGGATCCGAAATAAGGCGCCTCCTCTTTTTGAGACATGGGGCCCAAGATGGCCCCAAGAGGCCTCCCAGCCTCTCCCAAAGACCCTCCACCCCGCCCTGTTTGGCCCAAGATGGCTCCAAGAGAGCCCTCGATAGCCCAAGATGGTCTTCAAAATGGCCTAAGATAGCCAACCATGGCTCAAGATAGCCTCCGACAGACCTCCAAGAGGCCTCAAGGCAGCCTCACGATGAGCCAAGATAGCCGAGCATGGCTCAAGATAACCTCCGACAGCCTCTAGCCGGGCATGGCTCAAGATAGCCTCTAAGAGGCCTCACGAAAACTGGCAATCAATTATGGTTGGGCTGGTGGGGATACTTTTTGGTCGCGGCCGCAAGCGGAAGCGCAGGCGGCGTCCGAAGAGGTCGGGCGGGCTACGCGCGAGCCTAATTATACAGCGACAAGCAACAAAGGCGCTACACCGAGCGCGATGCTGGTGGGGATACTCGAAGCGTCAAGACTTGTTGCTGAACGCGCAAGGGGGGGAGCCGAAAAGCATCCCATTTAGCGTCCCCGAATCGCGTTGTCTGAATTCCAAGGAGGTCGTGGGACACGTGAAAATGAATCAGATTCGCGCCCCCCGAGGCCATAATCCCTAGCAGGTTACAACGTATTCGCGTGCCCGAGGCCATAAACCCTCATACATTCAACCAGATTCGCGTCCCCGAAACTATAATCACGTGTAAATTACGCTATACGCGTGTCCCCGAACCCATAACCACTCGTATATTACACCATCTTCGCGCCCCCGAAGCCATAAACCATCGTAAAGAACGAAATGCTCGCGCTCCTGAAGCCATAAACCATCGAACATTACACAATATTCGTGTCCCCAGGGCCATAAACCCTCGTGTATACAAAAAACACCATACCTGCGTCCCCGAGGCCACAGGCCCTCGCAAATTAAGCAATGTCGCGTCCCCGAGGCCATACACCCTGGGACATTTCACGATGTTTGCGCCCCCGAGGCCATACACCTCCATAGTGCAATATTTGCGTCCCCGAGGCCACAAACCTTTGTAAAGTACGCGGGGCTCGCGTCCACGAAGCCATAAACCATAGTAAAGCACCGAACATTCGCGCCACCGAAGCCGCAAACCCTCGTAAACTATTGTTGGCCCTCGCGTGAAGCCCCGACACTGCTTCACGTCAGCGTCCAGACATCCCAACATAGCTCTGGCAAGCCCAAATCTGAGTCAGGGGGGCCGGCGGCATGGGGGCGAAGCCCTTCCGGATTATTCGACACATCGCCGATAGATCGGCGATAGGTCCCCGATAGCGAAACCGCACCTTCCTGGGCGGGACTTGGGCTATCGGGCCCCTGCAGCGGCGATGAATGGGCGCCTGGGGGTCGACGCACCCCCCTGAGCCTATCTCCCCCGAGCGTTGCCCCCGAGCCCCTCGACGCCTCGCGGCTTCCGCCTCATGCCCTGGACATCTGGCCGCCGCTCGTCGACGATCCAGGCGCCCCAGGAAAGCCATCGCAGAGGCGCAGCCGCTGGACAGCCTCCCGAGGCTGGCAGCGCGACGAGAACCCACGAAAGCATCAGACCACCCCCCCCCGCCTCCCCCTCGGCACCCTGCCCCCCATACGCCGCCTCCCCACTGGCGCGTCTCCCCAGCCCTTCCCTAGAAGAAGAAAACACGCCATAAACATAAACTCTTGGCGCTCCGCGCAGATTTCTTGGATCCGCGCTGAACCCCCCTGGCGGCGCCTCCGGCGCCGCCCCTCTTCTTCCATTCTCGGCCCCTCATCAGGGCGAGCTGGTCCGAGGGGGGCCGACGGCCGCGCCGCCACCAACGGCCTTCTCACTTCTCATCTGCCACGGTCTCGTCGCCCTCCTCACAGGGCGATGCCCCGGCCTGGGTGGCGCCGCCGCCGGGTGCCTTGGCCTCGTTTGCCTCGCGGGGTAGGCCGCTCTCGCCGCCGCGGCTGCCGCCGACATCGCCCAAAACGAAACCAAGATCGGGACAAACAGGAACAAGACGAATCGGTGATCTTTGGTATCCGGCAGCTCTGGAGAATGTTCGGGCGCCGCAGCCTCCCCCAGGCGTTCCAGGACGCTCTGAGGGCGTTCCTAAATGATCCAGAACGATGTCTCCCGATCCTGTAAGACACGGTTTACCGCGGCCGACGGCGTTCCCTCAAGACCATGGCGTCGCGACAAAAGCCGTATCTGCCAGTTGTTGGATATTGTCGGCCTCTGAAAGGAGGCCGCCTTCTGGCCTCCATAGACTGTCAGCCAGCCCCAGCAAAGGGGTTGAGGCCTCCAGGGACCTACGCAACGAATAGATCGCAGTGCTGGAGCACAGGGATTGGGGCTGGCGGCATTTGGGAGCACATCCCCCCTCTCATGGATGGGACCCCAGGGCCTCATCGTCGCCGCGGCGGGCCCCCCCTTGAATCCTGGGCGCAGGGCGTCCAATAAGAGACCTGCGCCTCCCCAAGACCGTCGCCAGCCCCGTGGCAGTCGTCGCCAGCGGTGCTGCCACGCCACCACGAAGGCGCCGCCGACGACGGCGACGGCGGCAACGACGACGGTGACGGTGGCGGCAATGGTGACTTCTGCGATGACGGCGGCTGATGCAACGGCGACAGTGGCAGCGACGGCGACTGCAACTGGGAGCACTCGGACGGCGGCGGCGACACCGCCACTGTCGACGCTGTGGCCCGCGTTGCTTAGGGTGCCGTCGTCACCGTCGCCAGGACCACAGATCCAGAAGGGTTCACATCTCCGGAAAACAGACCTTCAAATAAAACGTGATGGTCCGAAGCAGTGGTCGCTGTGTTTCGCATGGGCATCGCGCATTGAGCTGTCGTGAACTTGCGTAATGCTAGACAGTGGTTGTTGTTTGACTGTTAGGGGAGCTGGAAATCAGCACATGGAACTCGACAAGGCTTCAGACTAGAATCATCTCCGATACGACAAACTTGTCTGCAACTCTGGAAACACATCATTGTGAAACTAGGGTGATTCCGTACATGTGGCACGCTAGACATTCGACACATTGTCAGGCGAGGGTCATCTTGAAAACAAGGTCTTTTTTATGACACTTGCGAACATCATCGGGGTTATGACAAGGAACATGCGAGAATGGAGGACCCGCCAGAAAGAGGAAGGGGCATGAAGTCCCTGAGGGGTTTCAATGGTAGCTGGGGGTCGGCCCGACAACAGCGATTGTCGTCGCCGGGTGTCCGCAAGTGTCACCGTTGGGTCCCCGTCGGGGGCCGACGACAACGGTTTCCGTCAGAGACGTGCTTCCAGCTGTTCTGTGTCAGTAATGCGATCACTGTCGTCATGCTCAGTTGGCTCTCCCTCATCGGATTCTCGGTTCGTTGCTCTCACGCTTCTTACATATAGCAGGCGGGTGCCACCCATTGATTTCAGCCCATTCGGGTGCGTGGCGGGGGGTGCTCGGGGCCCTCTTGTTGGCATGGGATGTGAGGAGCTGTGGTCTAATCGGCGTGCATTCTAGGCTCAGCGCCCGACATGGGTATAATGAGCATCGAGTTGCGTTGTCGTAATTCAAATGTGCCTGGCGAACCAACACTTGCACCAAACCGACCACCGCAACGGCGCACAGTCGTCGTCTTGAAGACTCCTTGCAACAAGCCCATCTGGAAGGAACAACGCGAACCTCTATCGAAGATACCCTGCAGAAATCAAGGTCGGAATGCACAAGTCGTTCCTAGTATGTGTCAGGCGGTTTGCAACACGCGCGCTAACACATGAACCGCATCAGAGCTAGCCAGTCTGGAGCCCGAGGAGGGAGTTAATGCACTGTGGAGGTGGAAGCCATGCGAAAGGAGCTACGTGGTGTTATGGATGTGCGTCGTTAGCTAGGGCGTCGTAAGCTATGCAGTGATACCTAAGTGATATGATCTATGAAGTATAAGCTATATTAGGGGATCGAACTCTATACACCGACGCTTCGTCTGGCCCTGCATTGAAATTCGCACTGGAGAGCGGATCCTGGTGTATACGGGATCCTGGTGTATACATGTTCCGTTGTTTCCCCTTGGGATACGAGGGACAAGTATACACCACACCACCCCAGCGTCGTCCTCGACCCTCAAGAAGCCCTGGGATTGAAACACCGCCCGCCACTGGTCATGTACATGCTCCAGGTTCCGACTACATTCTGTTACCCGTGTCACCGACACCTTGCCGTCGCTCGGACGTCCATTTCCCGTGCATTTTTCGGTTATGTGCGTTTTTTTTTTCCTTGCTCGATGGTCCAGGATGGTCCTCGATGGTTCTCGCCGAGACAAGATGCACACGTCCGAGCGATGCCACCGACACGGGGCACGGGGCGCCCGCGCGGCGGGCTGGCACCGGGCGGCACCTCGGCATTGCCCCCCTGGCGCGGAGCGCCCACGAGGCGCCGACGGCGGGGCGCCGACGGCGGGGCACCGTGCGGCACCTCGGCAAGGCGCCCCCGAACGCGGGACGGCCCGCGAGGCGCCCAGGGTCGCCCAGGACGGGGCACCAGCCAGGCACCCAGTGGGGACCCGGCGAAGCCTCCGCATACCTGAGGGCCGGGCGAGAGGGGGGGGGGGAAAGCAACGGGGGGGACAGCACTGTGTCGCGCCACCCGGCGCCGGGAGGCGCCCAGGTATCGAGGAATGGGCCCGGCGGCGGTGCCGAAACCAGCTGCACGCAGCAGATTTCGCGACCCCCCCTTTCCCTATCCCCCCTTTCGTCTGGCCCGAATGCCACCCAGCACGGGGCGCCCACGAAAGGCCCACGGGCGCCGAGGACGCAGCTTCAACCAGGCACGAACTCGGCTGCAGCCCATTCCCCGACATGCGCATGCAATTCCTTGAGGAGGACAAGACTGACCCCTAAGTGCAACTACTGTCTGGGGAAAAGCTGAGCATCACTTATGTCAAGAGCAATCTTCGGACAGCATCAACTGCTGAACAAAAAGGTTCCGACAGGCTGGAGAACCTCTGCGCCTTCAACCCTCACTAAGTGGCGAAATCTGCTGCCGTCGTCTTCGACGTCGCCGTGGTCGTCGAGTGCGGCTTGACCGACGTCTTGTCGAAGGGAGTCGCGATGCGGGGCTTGCCACTCGGCTGCACGCAGCTGGTGCTCACGCGTCCCATTCCAGGAGAGAGAGTGCTGGGCGGCAGAGAGCAAGGCATTTGAGTGCAGCATCTTTGCCCCCAACAAATTCTGCGGATCCCCGACCTATTCTGCGGATCCCCCGGACAGGGGGGATATGTGCGCGGGGCTTACAGATCGACGTCGGCGGCGTTCGGAGCAGCGAGTGCGGGAAAAACGTCAGTTTGGGGCGTCACAGAGGCCCCTGGTGAAATGCCGGCCACGTGATCCCCGACATGGCGCAAGTCGAAAAATGTTCGGGCCAAAGCCCAGATGCAGTGAGATGTGTCCCCAGGCTCCGCGACTCCGAAGGGTGCGGTGTGCAAAGGGTGTGGTTCGCAACCCGCGCCCTGGGGGGCGGGTGAGGACCTCGACAGAATCCTCCGCCGCGCCCCAACGAGGTCTCACCAACATTTGGCACAACGTGGTGCCACACCCCAAACCCCGACGGAACAGATCACAACTCACGCCCCAGCATACCCGCATCCATTGTAATCGCCGATGGTGGCTGGCGAACAGAGTAGGAAGAGAACGTGCCAGAACCCGAGTCGTGCGTGTCTTCGCGCTCTGCGCTGCGCGAGGCGCGAGGCGCAATCATGTTCGCGCTTGTTCGCGCCACTGTACTGTGATCGCACGGCTCTCCAGCCAACGCCGCGAGGCGCGATGAACGATTATCTGAAAATTCTTTCCGAACGCCCGCGGGTGACCTAACAACTTGACAGTCCCTGCGGTGTTAGCTGCCGTGGCACCTCCGGCACGCTCCTCCAGCACTGCTCGGGCCAGCTGCAGGGCAACGGCTTGCGCGCCACGCTCTGGTACTGGTTTACCAGGGACACGACCGGATTGATCATTGTCCACTGCTGCTTGTCCACTGTCAAACACGCCTCCGACTCCATCAGCAGGGTCACTAGCTGCTCATCGAGCTGATCCTGCAGCCATGCCGTATCGAGGTCATTGATACCACCACCGAACGGGTTATCCAGCTCCATCGCGATATAGTGCATGGTCCAGAGCGTAAACGAAATAATAAATGTGTATGTGGCAGCGCTTAGGGATCCCTGGCTCCAATAACTCATGAAAAATGGCGTCACGCCCCAATGAAACAACAACAAGACCTCGGACACAATAACGAAAGGGAACGGAAATGGGACCTCCCTGCATGTCCTCACCTCGTGAAACTGGATCATGGCATTGCTCTGCTCCTGGAAAGCGCGGGTGAGAATCGGAGGCGGGATGTTGAGAACGCCTGCGGAAATCTGGGACACTATTAGATTTTGGATCATCAGGCAAACAACTTGTGCCTTGTGCTTGGATATACGAACCCTCTCCAACATGCCCTCGTCAAGTCCACACGCATCGATACATTTCCGGTCAGATATATGGAGCTCGTGTCGTCCACACACCTCGTCTATGCTGACGGCGAACAGTAGACTTGACAAGCGAACCAGCGCTGCCTTGAAATTCGAAATCAGTTCTTTGGGTTGGCTGGAGTGTTGTGTGAAAGCTAGGAGTAAGCTGGCCATATCAATGAAATTGCCCGAAATGGTGTAGATCATCTGTGCGCCGTACCAGAATCTCTGGTAGGCGTGGGACGTGTGAAAGCAAAGGAAGAAACCGAGCAAGAACGTGAAGCTCGAGTACGTGGCATCCTCCGGCATAATCGAAACCAAGAAATTGAACTCCATGTTCAGGTCTGCGTATTTCATGACTGCAGCAACCACGGCGCATGGCAGCGCAGCCAACAAAGACCTTCGCATAGCTGACTGATGGAGGATTGCCCATACACTCCTGTAGTTCATGGCCACGGGCAGATAGTGCGTGGCACGGACATCAAAGTTGCACGCTGTTCCTGAGAACAGGGGATCTTCTGACAGCTTTACGCACACGCTGGCGCCCCCGAACTGCGGGTTCCAGATGTCAGAAGGGAAGGACACGATAAGGTCATGGGGACGGCCTCCAGACGCAAAAGTTGGTCACTTCCCTTCGTTTTCACTCGCCCCCTTGCTAGGAGATGGATGGGGAAGGTGACGGTAGCCCATGACATCGTCCTGCCTGGCCACAGCCGCCCCTAGATGCCGTCGTAGCTACAAAGTTTCCCGAGCATTCATCTCGACTCGACCATAACCTAGAGCTCCGATGCCCACATACTCTGTGTACGTGGGGACCGGGGAGCCCCGATCAGTCGCACGTGCCAGGCACGAGCTCATTTTGTCACGGGCCATTGGGCCCGAAGCTGGCCTCCAGAGGTCCTGCCTCAGCGGCAAAATACGGTCCAACACGAAGGTCTGGTGGTCATTACGGCTTGGACTTCCAGATCCTGTCACCACACTGCGGTCAGGAATTGTTGTTCCTTAGCGTGTCGCGGCCGCGGCCTGGCGACACGCCATGCCCTGCAAGCAGAGAAAGCCAGGAGGCTGGGCCAGGCTCGGGACGTTGACGCCTAGGGACTGGGAGGCGGTCAGCGTGTGGCGCCGAAGCGTGGTGGACCAGAACTGGCAGCGCGGGCACGCTAAGAACAAACTCTCGACCGTACCCGCTCGGCTTCACATGACATCTGACATCATGAAAGCACTGCGGTGTCGTGAAGATGCCCATGACCGGAGCTACCGCCCGAATCTTCGCCAAGGCCCGAGGCGGAGCAGAGACGATGACCGTGAATATATCGCAGCGCCGGTGTGTGAGGGATGGCACCTCCCCTGGCAAGTTCGTCCTGGCCCTCCCCCCGCGGATTCCCTTCGGTGCCCTCTCGGCGACTGGGCCCGTTCGGACGCCGAGCGGAGCCAGGACCGAGGCTCCATCTGGAGGCCGAGGGGGTTCACACCCCTCCTTCTTCCAGGCAGACGAGGAGATCGGACACCCCGGAGCGAGCAGATGGACCACCACCCTGCAAGAACCAAGCGAGCCCGCTCGCCTGCCCACTCGGCGGCCGAGTAGGCTCTGACGCGGAACGGGCTCGGAAGGGACACCCCCCAGCGCGAGGCCCTGACCGCCCGAAGTCCTACGGCCGCCTCCGGCGTCGGACGCCTGCTGGGGCTGGGGAAACCCAAAGACACCGATACCGCTACTCCCCGGACCTCTCCCGGGGTGCGTTCTCGCCAGGACTTCGAGGCGAATCCAGCGGTGGCGACGGGGGCCTCCCAGGAGGCCAAGAGAGGGGGGGAAAAGCAGGGAAGGATGGCAGCATGGGTACATTTTCCTTCTCCCCCTCCGACCTGCAGTTCCGCCGACCGCTCAGCGTCCGAGCGCACAGGCTGCCGCCGTCCTGGGCGCCTGCTGCATGAGCGGAGTCGCCCCGCATCGGCGCCTCGTCCGAGCAGGGGCGCCCTGCGCACGGGGGCCAGCCGCCACCGCGCCTCCGCTCCCGAGCGCGCGCGGGTACGTCGGCCGCCCCGGAGCCCGCACAGCGGCAGAGGTGGCCGTGGCCGCCTTCTCCACCTACCACGCCGACTCCTCCCTCTCCTCCCCCTCCTCCTCCTCCTCCACCTCTTCCTCCTCCTCCAACTCCTCCTCCTCCTCCTCCTCCTCCTCCTCCTCCTCCTCCTCCTCCTCCTCCTGCCTCCTGCTCCTCCTCCTGCTCCTGCTCCTGCTCCTGCTCCTGCTCCTGCTCCTGCTCCTGCTCCTGCTCCTGCTCCTGCTCCTGCTCCTGCTCCTGCCCCCTCCTCCTCCTCCTCCTCCTCCTCCTCCTCCTCCTCCTACCGCCTCCTCCTCCTCCTCCTCCTACCTCCTCCTCCGTTCCTCCTCCTCTCCCGTCCGCCTCCTCTCCTCCCTCCGCATCCACCTCTCCGCCTCCTCCCCTCCTCCTCCTCCTCCTCCTCCTCCTCCTCCTCCTCCTCTCCCTCCGCCTCCTACTCCTCCCTCCGCTCGCTCCTCCGCCTCCTCCCTCCTCCGCCTCCTCCTCCTCCGCCTCCTCCTCCTCCACCTGCTCCGCTCCTCCTCCTCCTCCTCCTCCTCCTCCTCCTCCGCCTCATCATCATCATCATCATCATCATCATCATCAATCATCATCATCATCATCTCATCATCATCATCATCATCATCATCTCATCATCCATCATCCTCATCATCATCCATCATCTCGCATCATCCTCTTCCTCCTCCTCCTCCTCCTCCGCCTCCTCCCCCTCACCCTCCTCCTCTCTCCGCCTCCTCCTCCTCCGCCTCCTCCTCCTCCACCTGCTCCTCCCTTCCAAGTCCCCCCTCCTCCTCCTCCTCCTCCTCCGCCTCCTCCTCCTCCTCCTCCTCCTCCTCCTCCTTCTCCGCCTCGTCCTCCTCCTCCTCTTATCTCCCACTTCCTCTCCTCCTCCTCCCCATGTCCACTCCATCCCGTCCCTTCGCCCCCCGTCCCCTGCCCGCCCGCTCATATGCTCTCTGCGCCGCCTGCCCTTGCCACGGGGGCCAGCTCCCACCGCGGGCCACGGCGAGGGCAGGGGGCCGACGGCGACGACGCCGACGCTGGCGACGCCGAGGCCGATGCTCCCGCCAGGGAGTGGCGTTCCCGGTGTTGCCTGGCCCGGCTCGACCAGCGCCTGCCGGCGCGACACACACACACACACACAAACAAAAAAAAACACAAACACACACACAGACAGACACACACACACACACACACACTCACACACACACACACACACCGTTGGCGCATGGGGGCGGCCTCGACCTGGGGGGACCATCGACCTGGAATCGGGGATGCATCGCCGATAGGTCGGCGATGTGCCCCCTGAAGCGGATCCGCGCGTGTCGTGTCGAGGGGGGGTGCGCTAGCGGGCTCGCATCGGCGATGAACGGGCGTTTGAGGGTCGATGCCTTCCTTCGCGGAGCCTATCCCCGCCAGGTGTTGGCCCCGAGTGAGAGGAGCAGCACAAACAACACAACACAGAAAGTAGCCACATAACACAATGGCACAGGAGCAGCACAATACTGAACATCGAGGATCACGACACATCACGACACAACACAACGCAAAGAGGAGGCCCTGTAGCTGCTGGAGGCGGCAGAGCCAGACCCCCTTGGGACCCATAACACTTATTTCGGAAATGATGGCCCTCCCGCAAGCACAGGGCGGATCAGGAGAAGGGAGGAAGTTACGACGGCTTCGTGTCGTGATGCCACCTGCGTTAGGTTTCTGAACCCGCGTGGATCGCACAACCTTGGGCAATCGCGGCTTTCCGCTAGCGCAGGCCGTACCATGCTTGCCCATTCTGAGCCACTGCCGGCGCTCAACCTGGAACGCCCGCGGCGGGATCGTTGCCGAGTGGACACGACACGACCCTGCCGCACGACGTGGCGAACGTCCGACACAGCCCCTCTGGGGCCCCAGAGCACTCCGACGCCCCGGCAGCCTCCTGCCCGCGGGGCTCTGGAGCTCTCGGCCCGGCCCTCTGCATGCACGGCGCTCCGCGGGCCCTGCGCTCTCAGTCTGCGGGCCGTGCGCTCTCTGCGCAGAGGCACCGTGGCCCGCAGTGGGCCTCCACGGGGGCCCGGCCTCTGAAGGGAGCCCGCCGTCGTGAAGGCGCCCCAGACGCCGAGCCCTCCGGCAGCCGAGCCCCTTCGGCCGCCGACGGGGCCCAATCCCGACAGGCTCGAGCCCCTGCTGCGGCCGAGCTGGCTCGACGGGGAGCCGGGCCCGCCCGGCCGCAGACTGGGCTCGACGCTCGCTCCGCTCGGCGCCCGACGGGGCTCGGACGCCGCCGGAGATCAGAAAGGGACATCCTCGGAAGGGCAGGGACCCAGATCTCTGGCGTCGGCCCTGCAAGCCTCGGCCCCTTCCCTTCTGTTAGGCCTTCGTCCCGGGGGCCGAAGAGCAGTTCACCGTAGTGATTTGTGACTGGGCTGCTGGATGTCTCAGACGACGTCGACCCTCCCCCTCCAAACTTGTCCCCCGGATCTCTCCTGGGGTGCGGCGAGAAGACTGCCAGAAGCACAAGAAGCGGGGGCGAAACGAAACTCGATCCGCCATCCTGGAACCTCGGATGGCCTGGAGGTCGGAGGACGGAGAGGTGCCCCTCCACGGGGGGGGTGGCCGTCCACGGGGGGTCGGCGTCCTTGACCACCGCGTCGTAATACTTCTTGTAGTTTGCCTGCAGGCGCTCGGAGGTGACGGGGAAGCTGAAGGCGGTCTCGGGGATGCGGCCTCTCGCGCGGGGGAGGAGGAGGACCCCGGACGTCCGAGCGTCGGACACCGAGCAGCACACCGGCTGCGCCATCCGGGGGGGGGGCAGTGCCGCGATCGTGCAAGGCCGAACGGATGAGCAATCCATGCGATGGCAGGGGCCAAGGCCAACGTCGTCACGACACAGACCCCACGTGCCACCGCTCATCCCAAGACCCCCGGCGCCGTGAGCTTTTGCAGAGCCGCCCCCCATCAGCTGCTGCCTCTGGGGGGGCACGTGGCAGAGGCGGGCAAGACAGCGCTGCTTGGTCGGGAGCTCCGTGGGGGGCTCCGGGGGCCCGCTCCTCGAGAAGAAGAGGCGTCGGAGCAGCCTGGTTTTTTTTTGCAATCCTGGTTTTTTTTGCAATCCTTCGTTCAACCGGGTTTTTTTTGCAATCCTTCGAGGGCGACGAGGGCGCCACGGACGAGGACGGGGAGGAGGCGGACGAGAGGGCGCCACGGACGAAAGGGCGCCACCGCTCTTTCTCACACGGGGCCGTCTCGCCCGCTCTCGGGCCGCGGGGCCCTCACAGGCCGGCGCGGCTCGAGAAGCGCGGCGGAAAGCAGCAAGCTGCACACATAGGGTGCTGGTCGTGAGTGTCGACGACGCTGCATTGATGCTTCCCGCCCTTGGTGCCTCCGAGGAGGCGGAAAGGCCTGGTGCTCCACGTCGGAGGTCTGGGGAGGTGTGCCAGGCTTCCGACGTGGAGTACTCGGCCTTTCCACCTCTGAGGGTCCCACGGGTGGGGCCCTTTTCGGCCACGCTCCACTGGGGCCTCATGGGGACCTCTTGCGGCGGAACGCTCGGATGTTCGGTTCGTCTTATCTCTTTGGGGCACCCTTTTAGGGCAGTTTTGGAGCTCTTGGGCGCCTTCTGGGCTATCTTGGACTACTTTTGGGCCGTTTTGGGGCCCTCTTGGAGGCCTCTTGGGGAGGAGAGGGAGGAGGAGGTGGAACGTGGCCGAAAAGGCGGGCACCAGGAATGACGACCGCTCTAGGGGGGAGGCTCGGGCCCATCACACACGCTGATCTGGATCGCGACGCACGGGGAGAAGTGGGCGGAGGCCAGGCAGAGGAACGCGCGGAAGACGACAGGGAAGGCGTGGACGAAGGTGGCCGCGGCCCTACGTCGTGGGTCGACCAAGTCAGCAGGGTCGATCTATAGCAGGCTCTGGAGGCACCTCCTCCTCCTCAGGAAATCCAATGGATTCAAATCTGGAGCCGTCGACGCCGGATGTCCGGATGCGGGGGGGGGGGGGGGAGATCTCGAGGATGCCGTCCGGTTCCTGGCGATCGATCGGGCGGCCCTCAGGGTGCAGAGGCACGCAAGGGGGGCGGTGGCATCTGAGGCCATAGCGACAGGTCGCCGCTCCAGGAAGGGGCCGAGCGGGCGCAGAAGGGCCACCCGACCTCCTAGTCGGAGCCGAAGACCCGCCACGAGATTTCGCGACGGAGGGCCAAGGCCGTCCTTCGGGAACCGTAGTGCCAGCTCCTCCATGCCCCATGCGCCTCTCAAGCAGCGAGAACCTGTTTGCGACCAAGTTGGCAATATTTCCAATCTGTGGCTCAATATCCGTTGACATCGCTCTGAGCAGCAACGATAGCGTACTCTTCTATATATGTGCGCCGTTGCCCATGTCGGTGCACTCCCATGCTCAATTGCCCATTCCTTGGATTTGGGAATCGGAATACTCCTTCGCAACTACGAGATCAACACGAACGCCTGCAAGGGAGCCGGTCTAGGAACCGCCTTCGGACCTACCAGCTACACTGGAGACAACGCGAGACGAAGTGCTATGAGAAGGAAGAGCACGCAACCAATCTGTAATAATCATCCAGTGAACCATTCCTGATCTGAACTGCAGAAACAAAACACGCAATCAAAGGGGCGCACCCGTTAAGATTGTCGGGCACGTGAATGCCAAGACGGTGCTCTTCCCTGTTTCAGTTGCAATGCCCCAGAGAACGAGGCTCAGGAAGAGACCTGGGAAGCCGATACCTCTCTGGCTTAGGAGGGGAGGACGACGAGGACGACGCCGAGGGAACGGACGGAAAGGAGTGCGAGGAGGCGGAGGGGGGAGGAATGCCTCCTATTGCCCCTTCGCCTCGTTCAACTCCCTCCTCCTCCTGCTCTGCTCCTGATCGTGCTGTGCTCCTACGTCTCCGCCTTGCATCACGTGCTCTATGCCTCCTCGTCATCATCTTCATCACCATCGTTCTCGTCCTCCTCCCCCGCGTCCTTCTCCACTTCCTCCCCCCTCCTCCCCCGTGCGCGGGTGAGGGGGCCTGCCGAGCCCGCCCTAGAGGCCCTGCTGGGCCCGGCGCATAGCGCCAGACGCATGCTCCGGGAAACCCTCCCCAGAACATGCCTCGAGGATATCTCCAGCGAGAGTCGACTACACGCAAGAGTGACCCTGGGTAAGAGTGACCTTTGGTGGGCGTTTTTTTGGGGGGGGCCGCGGGGGGGACCAAACACAAGCGCGCAAGACGCTAATACCGCAGCGCGTTTGACGACCGGGGGAACCCATATGGCCCGCACCAAAGGTCACTCCGGCGAAAGGTCACTCTTACGTCTAGTCGAGAGAGGCTGGAGGTGCCCCGCCGGGCCCAAATCAATAGCGGATGGGCCGGCACGCCGACTCCTCGCCAACGCCGAGGAGAACGCTTCGGCCATGCATCGTGTCACGGACTCGGTGCGACAGCTCGGTCGTGTCACGGATTCGGTGCGGCAGCTCAGCTGTCCAGGGGGTGGTGGCAACGCCACTCCCTGCGCCGACGGCTGTCCGGCGAACGTGGCCGAGTTTATTTTGTGCCTTGGGGGGGCAGGAGATGTCCGCCCGGGCGGTCGTAGTCGTAAACGCGGAGGTGGTGGCCACGCCACCTCCGCCAACGGACAGAAACTGTCCGTAACCAATCCGGCTCAAGTCTTGGTGCGCCGTGGGAAAAAAGTGCACAAACGAACCGTCGAGCGCGATCGAGATCGTCTACTTGTTCGCCTCGCCGTCCCTGTCAACACCCTGCTCAGACTCAAACTCCGTCCACCTGTACCCTCCCACCCGAAGCAGACACTGCCCACACGGCCCTCAGAGGCCCGCCGGCCACTCGGGAGGCTGGCCAGCGGGCAGGACATCTCGAACGACACGCGCTCCCCTTCCCAGGAGGAGGATCCGGCAGTGGAGACGGAGATGTCGAAAGATGCGCTCTGCAACGGCGGGCCCCACTCCCGCCTGCTCATCCCCCCTTTGTCGCCGACAAAGTCGTCGTTGTTGTCGTCGTCCTCCTCCTCCTCCTCCTCCTCCTCCTCCTCTGCCCCAGCTAGTGTTTTAGAGCGGATGGGTCCCACGCGGGCGCGCCGAGCGAGCGCGGCAGCGCGTGCCCGCCTCGACCGGGGAGGGCGGGGTCCGCGAACTGCAGGCTCTCCAGGCGCTGCGGGTCCGCGAGCAGCTGCACCTCCCCGGGCGAGGTGAGCCCCCGGGGATGCGTGCATCGATCCACGGGCGGCCTCCTCCTCCTCCTCCCTCCTCCCTCCTCCTCCTCCTCCTGCTCCTCCTCCCTCCTCCTCCTCCTCCTCCTCCTCCTCCTCCTCCTCCTCCTCCTCCTCCTCCTCCTCCTCCTCCTCCTCCTCCTCCTCCTCCTCGGTATCCGCGCCCTCGCGGTCTGGATTCCGGGGCGCGATCCCGCGGGTACGCGGTCGCACGGATGCCTTCCGCGGCGGGGCATCCGCGACAAAGCGCCCGGTATCCGCGGGGTAGCGGCCCAGGGGTCTGGCCCGCGAGGCCGTGGATACGCATGTGCTCTCCGCCCACAGTGATCATCGTCGTTGCATCGTCGATGCATCGGCGATGCACCCGCGAAGCATCGTCGACATGAGCGATGCATCGGCGACGTCGGCGTGAAGCAAATCGGGCGCCGCATCGAGCCGCATCGGCAATACCTTGGCGATACGGAGCGATCCTTCGACCTCATCTCCTCCGACCCCATCTGCGTAGGAGGCCTGGCATGCTCGAGGCTCGAGGACGCTGGCGTGCTCGAGGCTCGAGGCTCGAGGAGGCCTGGCATGCTCGAGGCTCGGAGACGTGCAAAAGGTACCGATACCGCTACTCCCCGGACCTCTCCCGGGGTGCGTTCTGACCCGGATTTCGAGGCGAACCCAGCGGTGGCGACGAGGGCCTCCCAGGAGGCCCAAGAAGGGAAAAACGGGTACCACGTGGGGGTAGAGGCACGGCGCGCCGCCATCCCCTCACTGGGGGATCCCACGGCGGTGGTGACAGACCGTGCGGTGACCTCGGAACTTGCGGCGACCTCGCTGCACGGACCGCCGCCGCGCGACCTCGGGACCCCGGGGGCCCCGGATCGCCCGAGGCGTCCCCGAAGAGCGACCCGCTCGGGCTGCGGCCGAGCCGCGCACGGCGCGCTGCCGCCCGCCCGCCCGCCGCGCTCTGGGAGGCCGGCGCGCCACCAGCCGCGCGCGTCGGCGGGCGCGGCGGGCGGGCGGCAAGCAGCGGCGGTGCCCTCGCCGAGGCCCCCGGGGGGAGTCCCACTCGTAACGTTAAGTCGGGCCTGTCCCTCTACAGGGGGAAGATTGAAACATAGTAGAAAAATCTTCAGGCCACGATTTCTCCCAACCATCCTGTGGTGCTGGGTCCTTGTTTGGAAGAAACGGTCCCCGCGTTCCTCTCCTCTTCTCCTCCTCCTCCCCCTCCTCCCTCCCTCCTCCTTCTGCCATGCGTTCCACCCACCCAGTACAACGTTTCGTGGCCCCTTAGGGGGCTCCACCGGAGGTCCCAGTGGTACCGCCCGCATGCGTCCGCCACTACCCAGCACAGCCCTTGCTCCCTGCGTTCCACCCACCCAGTACAACGTTTCGTGGCCCCGTAGGGGGTTCCACCGAAGGTTCCAGTGGCACCGCCCGCACGCGTCCGCCACCACCCAACACAGCCCTTGCTCCCTGCGTTTCATCCACCCATCACAGCGCTTCGTGGCCCCATAGGGAGTTCCACCGAAGGTCCCAGTGGCATCGCCCGCATGCGTCCGCCACCACCCATCACAGCCCTTGCTCCCTGCGTTTCAACCACCCAGTACAGCGCTTCCGTGCCCCATAAGGACCTCCACCGAAGGTCCCAATGGCACCGCCCGCATGCCCCCGCCACCACCCAGCACAGCCCTTGTTCCCTGCGTTTCAACCACCCAGTACAGCGCTTCCGTGCCCCATAAGGACCTCCACCGAAGGTCCCAATGGCACCGCCCGCATGCCCCCGCCACCACCCAGCACAGCCCTTGCTCCCTGCGTTTCACCCACGCAGTACAGCGCTTCGTGGCCCCATAGGATCCCAGTGGCACCGCCCGCATGCGTCCGCCACCAACAGCACAGCCCGTGATCCCTGCGTTTCCCACACCCAGTACAGCGCTTCGTGGCTCCATAGGGAGCTCCACCGAAGGTCCCAGTGGCACCGCCCGCATGCATCCGCCACCACCAAGCACAATTGGGCATTCACAAAAGCATATGGTTGGGTCCTTCGTCAGGCTATTTTTTTTCAATGTTGAAGCATTTGGAGGGTATTTTGTCAATCCTATGAAATTTTTCGCCCCCGCTCCCCCTGTAGGGGGACGAATCCCCCTGTAGAGGGACAGGCCCGGCCGAATCGTAACGACCAGGGCCCCCCTCGGCACCCCGAGGGGGTCGAGGCTCGCCGACGGAGGTTCTGGGTCGTCTTTCGAACGTTCTCGGCCCTGCCGAGGCGCCCTCGTTGCTCTGCGTGGCACGTCCCTCTTGTGCAACGCACTCGTGCCGACCAGGGTCCCCGCTTCCCCCACCTTCCTTCCCACCTTCTGCCACCCTGCCCTGTGAGAGATGTGGAAACAACACGAAGCAGGAGGAGGGGAAGGGCTCCAGGGTTGCGTGGGAAAGGATGGGGGGAGAAGGGGGGAGGGATGGAGGACGGAAAAGGAGGAGAGAGAGAGGTGGGGAGTGACTGGGGTGGCGGGGGGGAGGGAAGAGGATGGAGAAGGAGTGGCGGAAGGATAGGTAGGGACTGAGGGCTGGAGGAGGGCAGGTTTCTCAGGATGCCTCAGAATTCTCACGACTTCCAGGGATTCACCACGATTCCGCAGCAGTTCACGGTTCATCATATCAAGACCCCACGGGGACCACAAGGATTCCGCAGGAGGCTTCCGGAGGGTTCTCCAAGATTCTTCCAGATTCCATCAGATGCCCTAAGGTTCCTCAGGATTCCTTAGTGTTCTGAAGGATTCATCTGGGTTCCTAAGAAATCCTCTGGATCCTTATGGGCCCCTCAGGATTCCTCTGGGCCTCTGGGTTCCTCAGGATTCCACAGGGCTCCGCATGGTTCATCAAGGTTCTGCCAGGATCCCGATGATTTCCTCAGGATTCCTCCGGATGTCTCAGTTGGTCCTCTTCAAATTCTCAGGATTCCCAAAGATTCCGCTGGGTTCCTCCCCATCTCTCAGGGCTCCTGGGGTTCCACGGAATTCACAGACGCCCTGAAGTATCCTGAGCCAGTCTGAACTAACCTACCGGATCCTGAAGAAAATCGTTGGACATCGGGATATATCGCGGAACATCCAAAAACATCTGTAGGAATGCTACAAAGAATTCGCAGACAACCTGCAAATCCGGTGCAAAGTATGAGGGACTGCGGCGAGTAAAACACTTTGCCTTCATGACGCCTTTGTGACTATGGACTGGATTGCAATCCCTGGCGAGTAAGCGAGTAATCGAAGTCTACACCTCAAGACTGTGATGTCGCAACACTGGAAACATTATTGTAACATTCCTGCATTGGTCCTCCCTGCAATAATTCGAATAGTCGCGCAAGGTGCGGAATACGAAGCCGCACCCGAACCCAGACCCCACACCACTCATTCCCAATAGAGACGAACCAGACCCTAAACATAACAGTTATCCTCGCTAAACGCCAACTCGGCGCTGCCACCCCTTTCGGCGCGCTTCTGGCGCCCGGCACTGGTCCAAGAGAGGTCGGCCAGAACCTGCGAACACATCTGTTGATACTCATCCTTCCGACTCGAATCAGCGCGCCTCCGAACATCGCATCAACCTCCTGTTCCCTGAAGGAGAGTCGGGTCGGGCGAAAGGGGGGCATAGCAAAGGGGGGGGTTGAGAATCAGCTCACGTAGCTGATTTTCCCGGCGCCTCCCGGCGCCAGAAGGCGCCCATGTATCGAGGAATGGGCCCGGCGGCGGGGCCGAAACCAGCTGCATGCAGCAGATTTCGTAACCCCCCCTTTCCCAATCCCCCCCTTTCGCCCGCCCCGAGAGAGCCCCCCAAGGAGTGGCACCGTTTCGTCCCGGCAGTTCACCCGGAGCGGCCTGCCCTGCAGCCGCTCGAAGCGCGGCGGCGCCAGCATGCCGTGCAGGGCGTAGCTCACGGGAGCCATGTACGTCTCCACGCCGACCTCGGGGGGGGGAGGGCCACCAAAAGACTCGGCGCAGGGGCGGGTCAACACCTCGAAGCCATAGCCATCGTGCCAGGACAGGGAGCGTTGCAGAAGGATCGAAGATCCATGTTCTGGCCACGGCGAGCCTCGGCCACGAACACATGCCTTTATCTCAGCGCTCGACTGCGACGACAGAAAAGCAATCGGAAGTTGTTTGTCGTCACTTCGGACTCCGGGGTCCTTCACTGGGCCCCGGGACCGTCGACGAGCACGTCTTTGTAATCGGGACCTCTCGGGGCCCGTGTTGAACAAATGCAGCATCTTATATCTGGGCCTCTCTCCCTTTCTCCCTCCCTCCCTCCCTCCATCCATAAATCCATCCGCTCTGCACTCTGAACCGCGTGCGGTGCCAATCATACTTCAACGCGTCGAGCCTACATGTGCGCCCCTTTGGGCGCAACCCAAACCAGAAAGATGTACTCATGTCGAAATCTCTCACCGAACGGTTGTTCGACCCTTACGCAGTCGTGTTGCGTTGGAGAAAAGCGACCCCCCTTCACTTCTCTCCTGCGCATTTTGTCGCCCCCCTCCACGCTACCCTCCCACGCGCGCACGCGGGGCAGGCGGACCCACTGAGGAGGGCTGAAGAGGGAGGGAGCTGGAGGAAGAGGAGGCAGAGGAGGCGGCCGGGGAGGACGAGGGGCGAACGTACCCCGAGGGCGAGTCCCGAGTCAGCTAGGCCTGCACAGCGAGCCTGGCTGCAGCGGCAACCCTCGAAGCTGCAGTATCATCGTGGTGGGAAGTGGTGGGGATCTGGTTCTTTCTTTTGTGGTACATATGAAAGGTAATGACCGTGGCTTCAACAGCCCGGACTCTGGAGGTCTCGCAGTGTTCAGAGCCGTAGTCCTCGGGAGAACCGAAGCCGAACCAGAGAAGAGGGTCCAAGGGAAAGACGAGCAGCACCCAGCACAAAGCGACATGGTCACGGAGACGCGGGCAGAGGAAGTAGTGAGAAATCGAATCCGATCCACCGCACCCAAACATAAAATCACGTGTGTGGCAAAAGACATGCATGCGGGAACTCGTGGTCCAGCCTCCACAGAGGGTTTTGACATGTGCCCACCTCCAGGCAAGTCTTGTCTGGAACACGCATTCGCGAGCGAGGGCCCATCGAGCCGCGAGGTCGGGCGGGACCTCGTAGCCCCACGCACTGAATCGGCGGCCGATGGTACAGTGGATCCTGTCAGGATACAACGACTGGACGAGAGACTGGCCGACCGCCCTCTGGATATGCGGCCTCCTGTTCTGGACCAAGGCCGCTCTCAACTCCTGTCTGCTGCGCTGCTTAGCTCTTTCCCAGGAACGGCTGGGATGGGGAAGGAAGAACGAAGAGAGGGCGGGGAGCGGCGAAGGAGGAGGACACGGGCGGAAGAATGGAAAAAAAATCAAAATACATCTGAACACTGGCCTGTGGATGTTTCCAGCATAGATGGCGCAATTCTCCTGCCGCCCATCGCGGAGCTGAGAGAGGGGGGGGGCCGGAGGAGGATGAGGAGGAGGACCACAACAGAGCCAGGAAGCATCAACGATGCCGCATGCATCAACGATGCCGCATGCATGAACGAGCCCACTCATTCATCAGAGGTCCTACGAATAGTCCTTTCCGCCGTGGGGAGCGCCACCCTTTCATGTGAAGCGTCCTGTGGGCCTACCATTCAGGCCCTATCTAAAGCAGCATCCTGATATCCTTCCTGCCACAAGGAACGCCACCATGAGTGACGATGGAATTCCAGGAATTGTCACAGGATACCCGCGGAGGTCTCAAACGAGAGCCCACGGTAGAGAAGAAGCAAGCCCGTCCGCCAATGTTATGGAATGCGAGCTGCGGAACCTGAAGGAGTCCCAAGACTGTGCGCATTCTGAAAGCGAACTGGAGTCCATCCTTGCAGCGTGTGGGATGTGTTAAACGGATGTGCGCGGCGCTGGTACGAGAACCGCATGTTGAATACCACACTCTTCCATCTCTATAATAGTGTGGCTTTGTCAGACGAGTGTGCGCGGCGCTGTGGCGAGAGCCGCATTTTGAAAACGAACTGTCCTCCACCCTTCCTGCTGCTGGGAAGCAAAAACCAAGTTGCACGGCGACCAAGCGAGATAAGCCTCCAGGAAATTAATGTCCCTCCATTTATCGGAGATTAAACCTACATGTATGCGCGCGGCGCTGGGGCCAAAGCCATATTTTGGCCACCGCCACCCCTCCATGCTGGTAGGAATCAAGTTTGCTTCGCGCGCCAGAGATGCCACGGAAAACCAAACGAGACGCCCAGCACCAGGGGGTGGCAGGGAACTATATATCCGCCACCCTCCCTGGCGTATGGAAGCGCATTGGAATGCATACCCGCCTCTAGTAGCAGACAGGGTCATGCACACACCCCTGCCCCTGAGGCAGCCGTCCCCTGTAAACCAACAGTGGGCTCGCGCTCCCGAGGCCGCCATCCCTCGTAAAAGCTGTGCGTGTCCGCGCCCCGAGCTTTCTGGACGGCCCAGGCAGGCAACCATTGCAACCAAGACGGCTCACGATGCCTCGAAGACGTGGCAGAATAGCCCCAAGGAGACCGAATACGGTTCAAGACGACCCAAGATGCTCCTAAAAGCTCCCGAAAAAGGCCCCAAGAGGACCTCCCAAAGGGCCGAGAGTCACCAACATCATGGACTTCTTTTTGGTGTTTGGGTGATTTTTGTTCTCTCGCCTTTTTGCTTCCGTCTGCTGAAAGCGCATCCGGGCTCAAGTAAGCATCCCGGCTCAAGGAATATCGGCTCAAGTACGCATCCCGGCTCACACCCGATACCCTTACATTCACTTTCTCTCACATCCTACCGTCGCCCTATCATCTGCTTCTCTCTTATCTGCTCATCGCGCTGGGACAATTGGTAAAAGGCCAGCGAGTACGAGGACGCCGGGAACGCCCCTGGACTTGGAGAGAGGTGATTATCACGCAAAGGTGGCGTCGCAGATCATTGCGTCTCCTGAAGGCCACGAGGACAAGCGGGCCCGCTAAAAAAGACCGTTGGACAGCCCACTAAATGAGATGGATGGGGTCACGGGCGAGCCTCAGGCCAGTGGAGCTGCTCGTCAACTTCACTTCGATGGTCCTCAAACGCCGCCGAAGGCTTCTCCCGCTCCCGGCACGATGGACGGCATCGCAAAGCTCCTGAACAACATCCTAGACGACAAGATAAGTGCACAACTGGCCCCATTGTCCCTGAAAGTATCTCATCTGAAGGGGACGTACGGTGAGCTGTCCAGCAACATGGGAATGCAAGAGAGCGAAGTGGACAAAAGGTTTAACGACATGCACAAGAACTTCGAGATCACATCGCCAACATCAAACAAGACATAGCCTCCTTGCGAAGATATATTGGTTCTTCTCCTGGGGTATCCGCTCAGACCAACCCCCGGGCAGGGTCGAATCCAACTGTGCTCATCGGTTGTATTGAGCAAGTTCGCCAATGCGGACGTGGCCAGGGAATGGTTGCGACATCAGTTTTGGAACACATTCATCGACGAACCACTTGACATGCACTTGAGAGGACAGTCGTTCGAAGGTCAGTTGGTTGCAACATGTGCCGCTCAAGCGAAGGCCGAATCCATCGCAAAGGAAATCAAAAAGGCTAACCTGGAACACGATGGCGAGAAGGTGTACGCAAAATTGAACTTCCCTGTCAGCGTGCGTCTGCTCCGGAGCGTCATGCGCACCAGCAAGGACGTTCTCATTGACGGTGGCTGGGACAAGACAGCTTTGCGGGCCGATACCGATACCTATACGTTGTTGTGTGGAGCCGACGTGGTTCTCACGGCTTCGATTTCTGAGGGCAGTCTTTCGGCGTGTTTCGAAGATGGGTGGCGCGAGTACTTCCAGGGCGTGCCAACATGGGATGCCCTTTGTCGCTGCCTCGCACAAGAAGCTCAATGACAGCAAGACCCTCACGAAAGGCGTTGGCAATGGTAAGACCAAAGACAAAACAACGGGCCACTCCTCGAGCGCCTGTGCAGGCACCGCCCACTAGGAACAACTCCAGCCAGACACATGTTTCACCTCAGACTCTGGCAGAACTCCTCCAGTCAGATGGGCAAAAAACGCCCACATTGGATCCGAAGAAAGATTGCAAGAGGTAGTTGCAGAATTAGGCACTATGAATTGGGATAGTGTTCTCACCTCGGGAACGAGAGCTCCAAGCCGCTCGTGTGAAATCACTGGCGGGCAAACGCTCTACACAAGCGGCAAAGGCCACGTCGTCAACGCCAGACACGCCGGCATGCACGTATTTGTTGATATCAGCGACCGGGTCATGTACGTCGATTTGGAGCTGCACAGAAAAGCGTGCAGAACGATCGCAGTGCACCTTCCGCATTCCTGCTACCCCGCCATGTTCGTGGACGCAATATACTAGCAGCTGTCCGCCTGCTGCCGGACACCACGAATTTGCATAGTGGGAGGCGATTTCCAAGCATAGTTGCATGAACCAGTTCGGAGGGCTGCGCTGATCGATTTTGCCTCGAAGAGAAAATTGCCATTCTGTAACAGTTCTGGCGAATGGACGCTTCGAGGCAATATGTGGAGATACCGTCTTATTGACTACATCCTGATCGGCACGCGTGCCACAGGCATTGCGAGTGGCAGCACAAATCTTCTTGACCTTGTGTCAGACCATCGCGCCGTATCCGCTACCATAATGTTTACAGTTCCCAGACAATGGACAAGCAGGCAGCAGAACTCTCGATGTGAATGGTCAGATGTGCCTGGCCGAGACATTCAGCGATACACTGAGTCAGTGGACGTCTGGGCCACGCGTCATAACTGCTGAAACTTTCGCCGATATAGAACATGCCACCATCCGCTCTTCAACAGGGGAACGCTTGCAAACGCAGACAGCGACGACCCAAAGCTCCTGGAATCCGGATGTTGTCCTGCAGGCGAAGCGAAAGCGGGATCAGGAAAGGGCCCTTTCAAGAGGAA